GCACATATTCATATATTCGTGTTCTGCTTTATTAATTTCTTTTGAAATCAATTGTTTTTATGGTATGTGAACACGAATATATGAATATGTGCCCCCCCCCCCCCAATTATCATTCTGGCTACGGCACTGCAAAGCGGCCGTCGGGTTTTAAAGCAATTATAAAATAAATATTTAAAACAAACTTACCTTCGTTGAATGTTTGCTATTTCGCTGTCGTCATCATTGAACTATACATAAACACGAGCACTAAACACGTGTTTATTTATAGTTCAATGGTCGTCATACAGTCGACAGTCGTTATAATGCAAACTTTAAATTGGACCAATCAGTGTCCGCCATTCATGACAGTCCGCCATATTTTTGAGATCAGTGAGGATGACCACCCACCGAACCACTCACGGTAACCCACGCCCGCGCTCATTGATGAACTTTAAACTTGGCTAATGCTTTCGTTTCCCCGGGTGTAAATAGCCGGGGGAATTATTACCCTCGCACAGCGCTTCGCGCTGTCGGCTCGGGGATTATATATATACAATTTTAGACCTAAGCAGGAGCAGCTGCGAAAAACGCAACTATAGCTCCTGGTTATAGATCTAAAATTGTATATAATCTTTCGCTTGAAATTTCCATCTACAAAAACTCTTCAGTACACCCTTCCGGAAAGCACGTCTTCTTGGCTATAGAGCCTCGTTTTCGTGATTGAAACGTGGACTTTAACTGATGACACATACACGAAAACTAGGCTCTATGGCCAAAGTAACGTACTTTCCGGAAGGGTGTATCACAGGAGCCCAAGCGTTGATCTGTGTTAGTGTTCTATGTTTTTCAGTTTATTTATTTTAGTGTCTTTATATTGCCTTTTAATTGAATTATAACACTAAATTACACTAATATGTCATATAATAATAATATTCCTATAGTCGAACATATAATAATTTTATAATTATAATAATTTGTATTTGTACGTTTTTCAGTTTATTTATTTAAGATCTATTATTAGCTTATATAAAAGCACCGCCTTTCGAACCTCACAGCCCGTTCGCAGGATGCGCGCGGGATTTGAAATAGAGGGCGGCAACAATATAAATACGTGACAAGGGATGAAACTCTTAAAGTTTGTCGTATTATGAACGCCCCGACTTGAGTGGACCAATAATTATGCAATGAGTGTCGTGTCGAATAACGCCATCAACCTTTGGAAATCAATGATATAAACAAGGAAACAAACTCGAATACAACTCGAGGTGAGAAGCCAATTTGTGTCGATCGTAACGATTTCAATGTTTAAAATTATATCATTTAATAGGTCCAGCCAAGTTAATGCTACGAAACGTCGCTATTAAAAACTATAGCAATTTATAAGACTCTAGGGCTTTTATTTCACAAAATTTTTCAATGGCTATGTACTTTAGCCTTAGACATCATGTGGCCGAATTTCAAGCTAAAATTCGTTTTAACAAGCACATACGGCTTCAAAATAAAACATCGCCGTGTTGTAATTTCATCCCTTGTCACATTTCTTATTTCAGTGCGAAATAACGCGTGTAGCCTGCGAACGGGCTGTCAGGTTCGAAAGGCAGTGCTTTTATATAAGCTAATAATAGATCTTAAATAAATAAACTAAAAAACAATAGAAATACAAATCAACTTATATGTTGTTATTATATGTTCGACTGTAGGAGTATTATTATTATATGACATATTAGTGTAATTAAGTGTTATAATTGAATTAAAAGGCAATATAAAGACACTGAAATAAATAAACTGAAAAACATACTAACACAGATCAACGCTTGGGCTCCCTGTGGGCGTATTGTCATATCAGGCGATATGCATATATAATTTATGAAGTGTTCTCGAGTGAATATTTCCAAACCAGGCACGCAGAAAATTCTGCCTTGCGCGACTTGGTTTTGAACCCGCGAAATGTTAGGCTAATTAAGCTCAGTCATGCACAAAACATTCTTCCGTATTTGTCACAGGTCGCCTGACAAAGTGTTCACTGATGTTTGTATTCAGTTAACAATCAACTATCTATAATTATAAAGTTTCTTTAATTGTATAAATATATAGAAACAAAATGAAATTTAGCTCGCACAATTTCCTTTCATTACTGCAAACGGCAATGTTGCACTTTAAAAAAACTGCAGTATTGCAAAGTATACTCTGTATAGCGCGTTTCCTTTCCCGTCAGACGGAATACACTTCATTTCATATTATTTTAAGAAGCAGATTGCATTTGGCATAATCAATTGCGGCAAAAACATTAGTTGTTTAATGGCAACTATTCTGCACTAATTTGGTGGTTAAAAACCAATGAGTCGGACAATCTTAATTTATTTCCAAACCTTATCTGCCTCTGATGAAGACCATACATATGGCTCAAAAATTTCGTAATCATATACCAATTTTACACTCATTTGGTATTTCCAATGGTTTCAATGGGTTGCGGACTATGTGAAACCCAAAAAAACTGTTAAAGTGATCTAAAATTTATTTTCCCACAAAAAATGCATGCAAAATATATTGAATGAAAAAAGAATGTGATACCAATTATAGTTTTGGTCTCATTTATGTAAGATATAATAATTAGGTTCTGAAATTATACGTTAAATAATCTTTCTCGCTGAGTATTTAATCCAATGTAAATTTTAAGTCATATAAAAATCATAAATGAACAAAAATTCTCCACAAGTTACTCCTGCATCCTTGAGTGATAATCTTCGCTTTTCTGGCAGGCAACTTTCCAAGCTTCCACGGCATGTTCCACTTTGATATCCTCCGGTATATATTCCTCTAGACCATCAATGACATCACGTTCCTTTTCCTCTAGTTTGGCATTTATGTACTGTGATAAACTAAAGTAATGAAGCATATTATATGTTAATGGGTGTGGAAAATTCACTTATACAATCACTTTCAAAAGTTGTTGGGACACATGCAGTTTTAGATTTTAAGTCGACCCGATACAGTCCGTCTCATACAAGTCGGCACCCCTTCCCAATCAATGTTGCGTTCTCAATAGGCAATTCCAGCTTTTAGCTTATGCGTGCAGGGGACGATGGGAAGTAAGGTATCACATTGCTGATTATGCTGAAAAATAAAAATGGTGGCCGTGCAAACACGGAGTGATACCTTATACTTGTAAATATTGAAATATTTCGGTTGTTTCGGTAGTTTTTATTGACATTTTTCAGCATAATCGGCAATATGATACCTTACTTCCCATCATCCCCTGCAGGCATAAACTAAAAGCTGGAATTGCCTATTGAAATAGCAAAACCCATTATGTCAAATCTAACAGAAAAGGCAGGCAAATTGAAGGGGACTGCTGACGTTTGTTGAAATTAAATATTTTTGTGGCATCTATCCCAAGATATTTGAAACTGATTCAGTGATTGTAAACTATTGAGAAGACTCGTAACACGAGTGTTTCAACAGACCTTAAAAGACTCATTAATAATCCATGAATGAAGAAAAGACAAAGGAAATCACTGCCGTATCAATGGTTTTATATGATTTTCTTGGCTTACACAACCTTTATTTTAAAAATTACTTCGCAAATGTACTCATCAGATGGGTCGGTTTTTAAGCCATTTGAAACCTTCGCAGTCCGTGTGTTTATCAGATACAAAACATTCGAGCTGCGCTCTCGTGTTTTATATCTGATAAAGCATCCTCTGCTCGTGTTTTAAATAGTACATATAACGATTGGCGAGGATTTTTTCCCCAAACAGCTTTTGTGCTTGAGGGACGTAGGATCTGGTTGAACATGCGCACTTTAAATGCCTCAATATAAATGAGCATGCGCATTATAGCAATCAACGTCCCATGAGTGAAACAGCAAACCATTTTGTATAAATTCGTTGGGGCATGAGTGTGAGGATTTCATGCGCCTGGTAATTAAAGATTCAATTCATTTGTGGTTATACGAACTCTTGTGTTCAGCATAGTGCTCAGGCGTTCAAATTATAGCAATAGGATAATTTCTAGAGTGCCACTTTCACATTTTTTGGGCACCCTGTACATAAATTAAATAATTGAGATTGCTTTCCTTTTAACAACACAGTAAAATGATCAACTGAAATTAATATTTCAGTTGATCCACTCATAGTTTTCATAAATAATTTATCTATATACAAAATACAAGAGTTGATGTAGTCCTGTCTAATTCTGATAAAAATTTGTGCATTTTTAATTTCGTATATTGGTACGACACAGATTTTGTTAAAGCATGCATCGATCAGTATCGTTACACCTTGGTTTTGGGAGACAGTACCTCATTTCATTTTGTAAAGTTGTATGTTCGTTCCTTTACAAAACATATCCTAAAAATTCCTAAATTTTGAAATATTCATTTTGTTTTACCAGAATGTGCGAAGAGTTGACAAACCCGTCACATAGAGTAGTGTCATTCGCGTACATGTACATATTTCCAATTTTATTTAATAATTTTGTATATTTGGATGCTCGTTGTGAAATTTTAAAATGGAAAGTTCACTATTCACTACATTACACTATTCATGCACAATGATTAATAAATAGTTTAGTTGCGGGGATTTACCGCATTGTGTGAATGTTTTGACACGAAAACATGGCACTTTTTTTCTGCAAGAGAATGCATCTGGTTTTGGTAATACATTATCATAGTGGTACTTATGAACTAAAGTCATATAAATCCTGAAATGACACATAACGGAGTTTCAACAAAATCATTGCGCGGTTATAGTTTATTTATAAATAAAACAACTTCTGTGTAAACTTACGGAAAGTGTAACTGATCATCAGGAACATGTTTCAAGTAAAGCAAAATAAATTCCAGCAACACACCAACAAAATGATCCACATTTAGCTTTTGTAATCCGTTGTTTAAACAAAACTTCTGTTTCTTGTCAAGTGAAGACTTCACCTTCTCCGATACGTCATCAAATGGATCCTAAAAAAAAATAAACCGCTGGGTTAAAATAAATTTTCCTTTTCTAAATGACTTATTGCTGTTTAATTAATAACACAAAAAATGGGTGAACCTTGTCCTAATTAACATGGTCTGATGGTCATCAGGTGAAAATTTGCTGTTTTGATGAGTTCTACTATTCTTGGTAGAAATCTACTGCTTATAGATTGCACTGCATAATTGCACATTTGTAATTCTGATGCATGCAAATCACTTTGGATGGTTGTATAGAAATATTTTATTAACTTCTTTCAAAGCTGGTGAAGCCATTTCACTAGCGACATAAATCTCAAAACATAGAAAAATTATGAGGTGAGATATAAGCATTACCGGTCAGCCCAGCTCATATAAACAGCTCGGAACTTGTAAGACATATATCTTATTGAGCCATGAAGGGCGACGAAAAATGCGAGAAACAATTAAAATGTTTGGCAGGATTATATGTCTAATCATTCAATAGGATTTTTATTATTTCCATGTCTTTTTTTGGAAGTATTTGAGTATTTGGCATTGTAAGCGGCAAATTATTTCAAACGAAACGAGAACAACGACAAAACAAGTTACGACTTATTCATACTAAATTAGGAAAACCGTTTACACTAACGTCATCATTCTTTAATCTGATTGGATAAAATATTACAAATAAAACCTGTCAATCAAGTTTTTCAGTTTTCATTGAACTAGTTCAAAAAGAAAAAAACCAACGAACTGTCCAACAAGAAAGCTTCGGCTTTGTACGAGCTTAATATTTACGTCCAAACGGTACAATTACTTCCAAAATGTTCAAGTAAGTTGTCATGACTTGTTTTCGTTGAAATACTTTTGGAAGCTCGAGCTTTTGTTTATAGCGTGTTTGGTGCAATTTTGTTCAACAAATTTAAAAATAAATACCTCAAACTGCTCGCAAGTTTGCGCTGTTTTACTCTTGCAGTTATATAGCGTTATCTTATTACTGTTTAAGTTTTCGAAACATTATATTCGAGTCACGAGTCGGCTTTGACCTAGTGTTTTTATGTAGTGTGTTTGTCACAGTGGTTTGTCACTAAAAAAGTCGGATTTTTGCTTCGTCTCAACCAGGAAAAATCTGTTTAGACGAGGGCAATACGGCTTTTTACCGTGTAATCCGCTCTCAGATTTTTCGTGTTCTCATGACCTCATTTGGTAAAATCACGTCATTGTCATATAACAAATATAATTATTAGTCTTTATCAAGAGACGTCATTCTTCATACGGAAACATACCATTATGGGTTGCCCAATTATCTCTCCAAATTCATCTAACGTGTACATGTTCAAAAGCGAGTTAGATCTTATATTTACCCCTACTTAAACTACGTGTGTAAGAAACTGTTTTGCGAAATAGTGAATGAACCTGATCACAAGTTAGCTCAACTTTTACCGTCAAAACCGGAGTTTTATATAGTTTAAAGCCCCGTTTACACTACGCTCAATTTTTGGTACGGTACGGATAAAATTGGTACCCATACCACTTTTTTGGTTCTTTGACTACCTATTTAGGTAGTCAAAGAACCAAAAAAGTGGTACGGTACCAAAAATCGAGCGTAGTGTAAACGGGGCTTAAGACAGTCTCGTGTTTTTACCGAGCACACTACAGTAGCTGTAAACACTAACCGCTTTTAATACTTTTATTCGGTTACACTATTTGTATTTGGCTGCGATGTGAATTTGTAAACTTGGCAGCTCTTTAGCTGCGATGTGTATTTTTAATAAACTACCAATTTATCCATCCATCCATCTCATCATCTAAATTTGTCCAAAAGCTAGTATGCTACCTTTGAAGAAGTGCACTAGTTATAAAAAATCATAAATTTTGAGCGTCTGTACTGCTCCCCAAAGAAAATTTGACAAAGTAATTTGAGCACTTGCATGCAGTTAGTCAGCGATCTATGGTGGCAATAGTTAACATAATAGCTATGATCGTGTAGCGCTCAGAAAACCAAAAACGCGTGATAGAAAATTTGTTGTACATACAGTTGTGCACAATTGACAAAAAAATTTTCCATGTAAACATTTGTCATAAAAAAGTTACTCGTCTGTAACCGGCTTAAAAATGCCTGCAATTTTCAATTTTATTATTACGGTCTAGAGGTCAACATCGAGACTTTCCGTGTGCATTAAGAGGTTTCCTCCAAATTTCTAAAGTTGTATCATTCTTATTTATTACAAACCTGTTTACGCTTTGTCAATACTCTTGCCCTTTCTAAAGATAACAACAGCCATAGTGATACAATATGTTGCAGTTGACAAAACAGCTCAGCCTAAAAGAGGAAAATTTATATACTCATCAGTAGAAACATCAACAATTACTTGCCGAACTGGAGGGGAATAATATGACAAGGATAACCATTAATGAAGGTATCGCTGTCGGAGTTATCTTGGTTCCCACAGACGGTTGGTTTCAAGCAATCTTAGAGAAAAAAATGAGGTTGCAATCTAAGCTTGCTCAAAATTTATCTTAGATTTAACTACATGCAACGACGTTGCAAATTAAACAAGAAAATTTTGCCTTCTTTTTGGTTTCAAGATAAGGTAAACAGCTACTAAAGTACGCTAATAGTTTGTCCCATTAATGACGAGAACGTTTAAGGATTGAAGAGTTATATTCCTTCAAATATAGATTTACCTTCCCACTTTTTAAGCCTTTTCTAAGCGTCATCTTTAATCCTGAATGAAGGTATTCATGGATAGACATTGAAGGATCTCCCCCAGCAGAAGACAGAAATCCAATAGCAATATGTAGTGATTTAAGAGCATCACAAACATCGGTCAGTTGATTGAGTTCATTCAATATCTGATCTTGGACTGGACGAGTTATTTCTTCCTAAAATGACATTGACGGACTTTTAAGAATTTTGTTTAACTTTAACCTCTCTCCTGATATAGCCAATGATGTTCATGATCACATGAACAATGTTCTCCAGTGATGAATTGAAAGACCTCTAATTGCTCAGTGCTAAATTATGAGAAGTAGGAGTCAATACTACTGTTGTTTTCCTCTCACACGAAAATCAGAAATCTTTCCTGGACATTACTCTACTGCCTTACTATAATCTCCGTAATGTCTGGCCATGATCTAAGCAGAGTGATAAATCTACCAGCTCCATAGTCTCATGAGCTGACAATCATTGAGAATTAATTGAAACTAATTGAACAATCCCTAACAAAAAAAAGTCTATATAGGCCTGCCCTATAGGCCAACCTATAGGCTTCAATAGGAAACCTATAGGTTTTCATAGGCAATTGGAACATTTTCTATGGGTGACCTATAGGGATGCCTATAAGTCTATAGAGCTCTATAGGTGCCTAAAGGCGTCTATAGGGAATTGGAACAATTCCTATAGGAACCTATAGGCCACCTATAGACTTTTTTCGTAAGGGATATCCTTCAGTCAAGCATTTCGAAAGAACTTTGACTTGATATCGCCACTAATGATGAAAATAAAAACGACCTTGGCGTTAGAGCCTTTTATGTTGTTGTTGTCGTTGTTGCTGGTGAAGTGGTCATGGAACAGCAAAGATACTAGTATTCGAGAGTGCAAACATCCACATGTGTGTGTGTGTGTGTGTGTGTGTGTGTGTGTGTGTGTGTGTGTGTGTAAACGCTAAGTGCAATTTGCAGGTAAGTGTGGATTGTAAAATACTGTGCAGGATACACAAACAAAATTGATCCCCTAAACCCGAAAATGGGAATTCAAATCCCTTTCGAGACACCGAGTTTTCGTTTTTCTCTGCATTGTCAGAACAAATATGAAACTAACTTAACCGATTTGCTTAACATTACTTTTTGTCTTTGACTACATGTTTAGTCAGAAAATGAACACATAAAAATGCACGTGGTTTAAACATGCTATTGTTCAGCTACAATGTTTTTATAAATTTTACAATGATTTCAATGTACCTGAGGTATCTTCTGTTTTAAGGCTTTAAATACTTCTCCATCACAAATATCCTTACTAAAGACAAACAATTCGATCTAAGAAAAGCATAGAAAAACAACATATTATATTAAGATGCTATTTTGTAAATGACAAGCCCAGCAAGCTAAAACATAGAGAGGTATACGGGGGGCTTTAACATATGCATGAAGTTTTGTGTTATCATACTACAACTCGTAAAGTTAATAGGTTAAGTGAAATGACGCACAATTGTACTATTCATCAGAACCGCAGATGCATCCTCGCTAGCTCTCACGCAAAAAACATTTCATTTCATTTCAAATGTTTCTCTTATCAAAACATTCAGGAATCCGAAATATCAAACTTGTGTTAGCCTATCTCAACAACATTGGTTACGGACGAATCAGACATCGCCATTTCCAAGATGTCGATTTCATGGCGTTAGGTAGACTTGTAGCTCAATACTGTCTCTTCAGAAACCGAGTCGCAAAGCAACGAAATCGAGCGCGCCTCAAACTTTCCCGCGTTATTGCACCTGGCCTAGGACTCTGGAAATCCCTAGGACTCTAAAGAGACGGACTTGATCCAAGTCTAGGCGTTAGGAATGTAATCGCAGTCTGCAATATTTTGATGCAAAAACATGAAACGATTTTTCGGGCGAGAGGAGGCATCAACGGTTTTGGTGAGCCCCGGTTCTTAATACGGTATTTTAATTGTCTTGTTTTGTTTTAAATTAGCCAATTGCTGGGAAACTCGATTAATCGACAAGTGTTGCATTAATGCATAAACATAAGCGATCTATCATTTATTCTTGTCCAAATCTATTATTTTTCAATAATTTTTTTACAACCGCTTCTAAATTCTAATTCTATGTCTATTGTTAGTATTTACCAAAGATATTAGTCTAGGTCTTCCTCTGATAAATCTGTCCACCAGCTGTCTTTCCAAACACTTCCAGTTAAACTCTACTGTAGTTCCCTCACCAACTTTAAGAGAATAATCACAGTGTGCGAGGATCATTGGTAAGAAATCCTTTTCTGGATCATATGCTACAAGATGAGCCTTAGTTATGTTGGCTAGCGGTATCTCTGGTGGACTAAAAAATAAAATAGATGTAGCAGCACTCGTTGAAGTTCAAGTGTTCTTCGTTTGCTATGACAATAGAACTTTTCGTTGGACGCCGGCACCTCCTTACAGTTATTCTTCCCTATGTATAAAATTCCCCTCTAAACAAACTTATATATAAAACACTATTAATATAATTTCAACAAAAATATAGAGCTTTATTCATAATCTGGTCCTTCAGCAGCACATGTGTTTTGCCAAACTAACCAACAAGGCCTATTTTTCAAGGGCTCGACATTTTTTTCCAAAAAATGTTGGCGAGCAAGGGGGTGGTGGTGGGGGTAAAAATTTTCCGGACATAAAAAAAAGGGTCAAAAAATTTTACCGGACACACTCTTGTTAAATTACATGTTCCATCCTGTTTAGCTGAAGTACTTCCTATCAAGACAAAATCCATCTATATACTAGCTATTACACATACCGACTTTCATCCTTTAGTAAGCTCTTACAACGGCCAATAAAATCATTATGTAAGGTCACGAGAAAGTTGTTCAAAGCCAAAGCACATCTTCCCTGGCCTGATTTGGCAGGCAAAAACATGGAAATTGGTGTTGAATTTATCACTTCAATGTCGCACATTTCCTGGGGAATTGAATAAGGGCCTACAGTACAATAAAAGATAAATTAGTTGTTGTCCTGCAACAACAGTAGCATGAAATTAGATGAAATCAGAGGCAAACATGGTTATAATTGGGTAATGAATCAATTCTGTTAAATACCAGCAAGTGTAGAAGCTCGTTTATTATAGCTTTTCATTGGACAAAATGGGTAGTGTTCCAAAAACTGGTAAAACGTTAATGTGAATAATATTTTTATCGGATAAGGGTATATGTAGCCGTGCGTTATAACATATACTAAGAATGGTGACATAAGGCTTTTGGTTATCATGCTGACTCCTTCAAATAATAGTGGTTAATTTCCAGGTGTAAGTGAAAAAGAGTGTTATTGTTGTTGGGTTGAAAAGAAATGAGTGCAATGGCTTAAGACCCTATAAAACACACAATACGAATCTATTTAACGACTTAAAAAAATCTTATTGGTAATAGTTTGGTAACAAGAATATTATTGAGGGAGTTCTTATATATTAAAGCGACTAAACCAAAGATATTATTGAATTCATTCATGATCAAAGAAATTTTTATGCGTTTTGGAAGATAGAGAAAACAATACTTGCCATCTTTCAAAAGGGAAGGTCGGACAATTTTCCAAGCCATTTTAAAACTGTTTACCAAAGCACTGAATTGTTCTTTTACTTGAAGAGCTAAAGAAAAAATTAAAAATACAGAAACTTGGTAGAAATTCCTTAAATTACTAGATACTCAATTATGAAGATATATCGAAAAACGGCGATACAGTAACAGGGAATACAGTGAATGCAAACATGGCGATTGAAAAAGAAAAATAGGACGTAACGATAGTATGATACAATCGTACGACATTAAGCATGGTTTAGGCAACACGGAAGCGCGCGAGGGTCGTGGGTTTCAGCAAAAAACCAAGCTCGTCTTCGCGTCAAGCATGTAATAAATCTTCGGAAACTTCAAATGTTTTAAATCTTCCAGTTTCAGCGTCACCATAGTTAATAGAGGAGATGGTTTGGAAACTCATTAGCATTACAATAAACCTCACTATCAATGTTTTTGTTCTGGTTTATGCAAAAATGTGGTCTTTCATCGTCACGTGCGTATTGTATTTTTGGTCAACCAGCCAATAGCAACGGTTTTGTCTTATTGCCCATCCATGACTTTAACAATAGGACATTTGAACATTCCTATTGGTTGACTTGAGAAAAATACAATACGCACGTGACGATGAAAGACCACATTTTTGCATAAACCTGAACAAAATAGATAATGAGGTTTATTGTGATTTTATTGTAATGCTAACGAGTTTCCAAACCATCTCCTCTATTAACTATGGCGTCACACATGTCATGACTCAACTGCAATTATATCATTCCGATAAAAACTGCACAATTTGCACAGTGCATGGACATTATACGAACTTGGTATAGTAGTCTTTTTCTGTTTGAGTTTAATATTAGGTTTTCAATTTCTGCCGTTTAACATACTTAAATTAGATAAAGTTAATGTAATAATTACATGTTTTCAAGAATTTTCCCAGAGTGAATTCCTCCGCTTCATTTCGATCCAAACGACGATGAAATTTCTCGAAAAGCAGACGCTGTAGTTTTATAATATCTGGAAAATATTGCAACGCACGGAGATGGTGCTCCTACAGAAGTATATAAAACAAAATTTAAATAATTGTTCGTTGAAACAAAATAAAAATTGACCAAGAAATTGTATTTCTTGATAGGAATTTTTTGTAGTCAAATTTTATTCCCTGATTTTTATGATTTGGATATGGTCAGAACTTAGAGTATGAAACATCCCGTTATCTTTCTAAATGTTTCTAAATGTTGTCTTTTTATTCTGCGTCAACAACAACAAGAACAACAACAACAACAACAACAACAACAACAACAACAACAACAACAACAACAACAACAACAACAACAACAACTACTACAACAACAACAACAACAACAACAACAACAACAACAACAACAACAACAACAACATCATTATGAATGACATGAAACCATAAGAATCACGAGATCCCGATTATGACGCACTTAATATTTCTTACAACATTGTTATTGTCTGATTAGGATTGCAAGTTGAATGCCTGATAACAGAGCATGCCCAAAATGCAGACTCTTCACAACCGGGCATGCCCAAGGCGCTACCACGATATTGAAAATTTGGCCAAAAGAGGAAGTTCAACAGCACCACTGAAGCCTATTGGTGCCTACCCTTGCAAAGATTTCACATTTTATGTCTCATGTATAATTCTTTTTGTGAATTGGAACATTTTACATGTGGGCATTTCATATTTTTATATGTAAAATTCAAAATTTCTACTTATGAAATTTGCCTTTCATGTATTCTTTCACATATGATCACATATGAAAAGTACATTTTACATGCAACAGCTAAGACGCAAAGGTAACTCTCCCTCATATATTCTTCCGGAGATATTTGTTCGCATACCTTTTTCAGGAATTCAGCCAGAACTTCACATCTCTCTGGCTTATCGCGTCCTTGTGAATACTCCTGAAATTTGAACGATACGTTCTCTATCGTGATTTTTTTGCGGTATCGCCATAGTGCTGGACACATTGAATCGAGTTTGGATATGGACTCATAGTTTGGGCCATCCAGTTCATGAAGCAACCTCATCAAACGATTATTGCCTACAGATGGACGAAGTTTAAATAATATTATTACATCATCCCTAGCGACTTTTTGAGTCATGACTATTCTCAAATACACAACTAAAATGTAGGGAATATTTGTAATGCGAATACTGGTCTGATACTGTAATTCTAAGAATGATGGCCCGGTTACAAGCTGCTTTGAATATGTTAGCATGACCGGTTAAAAATAACATAAAAGTTTTGGTCACGTAAAAATGTTACTGTTAATTCGTCCATCTATCCATTTAGCTATGGGCGCTTTGGAATGTACACATGTTTTATGTAGAAGCGAGCTGAGATTAAAAGGATTCGATTTGGACAGCTATATGCCAGACACGCCCAAACCGCACCCACGTTTTAAATGATTCCTATGTTTTCTTTGAAATTACGTAGATGAGATTGTTAAATATGATTCAAATGTAAATATCACGCCAATAGATGTGAAATCTGACACGGAAGGCCGGGATTTTGCAATGACTGTCCTCACTTGCGAGTGTGGATGAGGTGTCAAAATAAAATGCCGCGAGTGTGGATGAGGTGTCAAAATAAAATGCCACAACTCTCTCTCTCTCTTACTGTTGGAACAAAATAAAAAATTTCTGTAAAAACATTGTCACATACCGAGTCTCTCATCTCGGACCATACGACCCAAACTGTCCTGGAGCAAGCCGGAAATAGCCTAAGAACGTCAGAATGTAACAATTAGAAGCCGATATCCAATTGAACTTCATTTCAAACATATCATTTGTATCCCCCCCTTTTCCCATGTCGTTTAAAGGGCATTTCTTCCGTTTATGCACCTTTAAATTATGCGTCCCCTTGGTATATCCCGCTACTTTTAAGGCAAATAGATTATCTTTGAGAATATTATTGCTCATTTTCCACATACAAGTATATGTAGAATATGCACATGCATGATCGTGTGGTGTAAAAACTTACGGAAAGAACAGGAGTCAAATAAGTGGTCATAAATCCATCTTCCCAAGCTGTTCTTGAATCTTTGGTGGTCAGGTTTCCATCAATATTTAGGTAACCTACAATAAAGTTATTAGTTTAATATTTTATATAAGGCAAACCTCAGTAATCTTCGATATGATACCTGGCTGTTTTATACTTCTCCGTACAAGCATTACATCACCCCTAACGAGGTAATGAGTCATGATTATTCTCAAATATGTAATTAAAATGCAGGGAAATATTTGTAGGAAAAATATAATTACATTACGTTGCAATTAATCAGAACCTTTCCCAGCTGTATCGTGAAATAATTTACCCGTTTTCCACATTAATGTTCAGTACATGTCAGCATGTTCATTCTACGCATGAACAAAGGCATTCAAGTGCAATCATAAGTTAAGTTTTGCAAAATAAACATTGACACATCCTGTGTTGATGTAGTGTACTCAGGTGAATATGATGTTTGTGTTGTTACTCTGAGTGTATATCCACACCGGGCGAGCTTGAAAAATATGCCCGGCCACGGTGAGATTCGAACCTACGACCTTTGGAATACTAGCCCAATGCTCTTCCAACAAAGCTACGCGGTCAGGAGGTTCGAGTAAGTGATATTTCGGAACAGAATCTAGTTCCTTCAATACCAATGTTTTGTAGTAATATGAATTTTTTCTGTGTTGGTGTAGTGTACTCAGGTGAATATGATATTTGTGGTGTTACTCTGAGTGTATATCCACACCGGGCGAGCTTGAAAAATATGCCCGGCGACGGTGGGATTCGAACCTACGACCTTTGGAATACTAGCCCAATGCTCTTCCAACTGAGCTACGCGGTCAGGACGGTTCGAGTAAGTGATATTTCGGAACAGAATCTAGTTCCTTCAATACCAATGTTTTCTAGTAATATGAATTTTTTTGTGTTGGTGTAGTGTACTCAGGTGAATATGATATTTGTGGTGTTACTCTGAGTGTATATCCACACCGGGCGAGCTTGAAAAGCATGCCCGGCCATGGTGGGATACGAACCTACGACCAGAGTAACACTCGGATATACACCCAGAGTAACACCACACATATCATTGACACATCCATTGTGACTTTCAGGCTTAGAGATTGAAGTTGTGTGCATGGTTGAGATTTTTGACTTTGAGAAGACAGTCACGCTTGACTCCAAGTTCTAAATCCACTATACGTATTAGATTAATTGTTACTTTTACTGCAACAGAACAGGTGAAGTATATTAGTAAAAAACAGTGCAATCAGTTACAAATCTATGTGACTAAACGTACCTCCCTGCTGACCCAGGTTGTTTACAATACCAGCAAGCACTAGATGGATTATCTGCACCGCCTCATCATCGTTGTTGCCAGTACTTCGTGCTATACATCTTATATCATGTTGTAAATGTTCTTTTAAGAATTGGACAACATCATGAACTGGTGGTTTTATGATAGCAGCAATATTCTGGTTAAAACATTGATATATTTTATTTGCAAAACAGTATATCGAAATTTAATAAGGACTTAAAATAAAATGTGCACAAGATCAAGGCCATGCAGGGGTTTATACTTATTCCATGTTTAAAAGATTATATTTATCAAGTCATGTAACTCAATAAATCATGAGCACATAAAAAATACTAACGCACATAAAGGCTATATGTTTACTATACCGAATAAATTTCCGTTCCAGTGCCGAAAAAGCACCTATCTGACACAGAATTAATGTACAACTTTCAGAAACAGAGCGAAACAACATCTCTCCGTTGCAATAGTTCTTCTGAAAATAGCGTTCCTAGAAGGCACGGATAGCTAAGTGTTTTTTCATAGTGTCGCTATGGAAAGCTATCCGGCACAAGTCTACGTAAACGTAGTCTTAGACTGTAGAGAACCACTTTAGATATACTAGGGTTACACGTAATGTGACAATTTTCAAGTTACTGAACATTTAAATTTTACTGATATAGACTATACTATATTTAGAAAATTTGGGTGCTCGATAATTTGACAATTGTAGCAAAATATTTGTAAGGAAAATATTATACAACATAAAAATAAAATTAACATTTAACTTCTCATAACGAGCGTAAGATAAATGTTTAACAGATTCAATTGGCATAGATACCTGAATATTCTGATCCGTTCCCAACAACATGGCCACATGGGTCAGGCAACGTAAGACACCACATGACAAGGGAGTCAAATTTCGTACGGATGTTACATTTTGTTGTTGAGCTTGAGTATGGCCAAGAATATGGCCAGTGCTACTTCGATCTTGCCTGATTGCCACAAAATTAGAAGAAACAAAAAAGAAACTATTTAACAATATAGTTTTTCAATATTTCTAACACACTCGATATCTCGCCGCTATGTTTGTTATAATAATATAAATAGATTTTAATCCCAGGAGAAATGAATGTTCAGTGACATGCAACCACATCTGTATACAAATGTGCGTGGTTTTACATATTTATCCCTGCCTATGTATAGTAAGTTATATATAACAACGATTTCTTAATAATGGCCAAAATTATAAAACAAATTATGAAACAACCCCTCGCCGCAGCTTACCAAACTTTAGTGTCCAAACATGGTTTCAGTATGAAGTATTTGGTTTATAACTGGCCAACCGCGAACCGAACGCTGGTTCAATCAAAGTGGTAACAACACTGCATGTGACACAGGCTACATTTTGTTGTTTTGTAACAAATGGGGAAAAAATGAAAATTTTCAACTGCAAATTTACCAATTCTCAAAATATAGAAGATAAGTAGTATGTTCCTGACTTGTATTTTCATAAGCTCTCTAACTCATATTTCGAGATCAATAGTGGGAAACCCATAACGCGCGAAAACTGAAAAATTGCCAGGTCGCCGAGTATTTATTACATCATGCATGGCATTGTGGGGTCAGTCAAAGTGTAATTGCTTCTAAGTCATCTGATATTGTTTTTGGGCCTAAACCTTTTCATAACCTCAAAATTTCACCAATAAATAAAAACCTTTGGCGACTATATCTTTGAAATAATTCAGTAGTTCGCCTCAGTTCATCAATTTGTGGACCAATATGCGATCATGCCATTACACATTAAATGACCATGCGCCCATTTCCCGCCAAATTTCGCATATAAAGCCCAACTGAATTAGTACCCTCGTCATAGGCTTACGCTATACGGATTGACTATGCATACTCTTCTTTTAGTACCTAAAATTTTGTATTTTATATTTTTATAACAAAGAAATCATTCAATATCTGCACGCAAGTAATATTGGAAAATAGAAAAAATCAAAATGTTATAATGTTTAGCTAGGTAGAGAAGTAATAACACATGATCACGCTGAGCATAATATGTTAAAGCGCTTGAAAAACTGTTTTAAGTGTTCTGCTTTAATTTTATAAATTATAAATAATTGGAAGCCAACGTTTATTATCTTTGCACCCACTCACATGGAGGCATCTCTGTTGTTTGCTGCTAAAATGCCCTGGCCACCAATGTCGGCGTTACATATTGGGCAACGGTAGCTTTGGTTTGGGTTTCCACACTAAGGAATTAAAAAAAACAAAACAAATTATTACAGGGAAATTAAACGGGAATTAAAAAAAATTACAAAAAAAATTTAACGCTTCGCAATGTAGAAAGATCATTGGTCAGGTGTAGGACAAGAGAGGGAGAACCCTCCCAATATTTTTATGTCTGGAAGATTCTACTGAAAACAATTGAGCAATATGATGCATAAAAATCGAAAAATGCTAATAAAAATGGGGCAAATTATTAAACTGATACACCATAAAATGATAAAAAACACCCGCTTTAGTTTAATAGTTGTTCACGCTCTACTGATCTGATGCAATTTTTCGCTCTTTGTACTCAGTGTAGCCATCTATTATGTGGTGCAGCAATGCAACACCTTATACAGTCGATGTATAATGAATATACGGCCGAAATAATAATACTGGCACTTAAATTGATGCATACAACATCCTGATTCAACTTATATATTGCGTAGAATATCAAGATCAGTACTCGCTCCTTCCTAGCTCTTTATAATGAATATACCGTCAAAATGATATCGGCACTGCGTTGAATGCCGAGAATCTCAAACATTTGAAAAAAGCACTGTCTGTCTCCTTTCTAGCTCTGTATAATTAATATACCGTCTAAATTATATCGGTACTTATATATTGGGTGATCCTCAAAGAACACTAGCTGTGTCGCTCCTTCCTAGCAACGTCATGCCATCGTGATCTACGGCTTGATAACGAATGCGCATTTGCGCTGCTAAAGGAAAATCGGATGGTCCAGGGTAAAGATCCTTTACGCAACATGACAAGCGAATGTTATAAAAACATTCTTTACAAACATAAATCGTATATACATCCCCTATCTTCAGATTTGTAAATTGGAATTACTCGCGCGCGTTGCCAGTCATCAACATAAATACCAGTGTCAAGTGATAAATTAAATATATCCGCCAATGACGGAGCAATAGTATCTGCAGAGAGCCCGTGACAATATTGGCTGGGATTTTATCAAGGCCAGTAGATTGTTTAATTTAAAGTTCATTAATGCCAGGACAACGTTATCTACATTAATACGATGGATTGGAATTATAGTAGCTATTCGTAGTTGTAGGATTGGAATTATAGTAGCTATTCGTAGTATGTTGAGCAAGAGGGTCTTCACTTACTACTTACCTGCAGATGTAGTTCTCCGAACTTCTTCGTAAACTGACACGAACAATACGATCCCCACCGTATATAGAGGGACCTATTCACAAGTGAAGTCTAGATTTACAAGTTCTCCCGACCCAGCTACTGACATGCGGAGTAACCACGGCAATGACATTCATTTAGAGGAGAAATGCGAACGCGTTGGCTTGATTTATATTCGTGGTACCCAGACCGCTCGCGCCGCGATTTGCACTAGCATTTTTCCTATCAATCTTCGAAGGAGTTCGGAAAACTACATCTCCCCTCGGAGTAAGTACCTAACCCTCTGGGGGAAATTATATTTCCTTTTAACCATGCCCGAAGGCATTCGCATCGAATATACATTTGTAGAGTTGTAAATATACGTATGGATAGATAGATAGATAGATAAATAGTTTAATAGATTTTACATGGCAGCCGAATTGGCTTAATTGCGTAAAATTAACAAAACGTACATATTACAAACAAATTAAAAACAACACATGCATGCACAATTACATATTACCGAATGTAATAGTATTACATATTATATGATATCAGCGCAAATTCAGATATGTCCCCCACCACCAGTACTTACACATGTTTATAGTACTTACTTCTGTAATAACATAACGATGTCCACTTGGGCACTCTAAAAAGTATAACAATCAATTAATTTTCTAAATCTTTGCATTATATAGAGATACAGACAAATAGTACAAGTTTATTTACTAAATAAATAGAAGTACTGCATGTTCATGATAAAATTTTATTCATAAATGACTGGCTTAAGGTTCTTCCTTGTTCCTTTAGGTTGTTCCTTCAGCTTGTTTCTTGACTTACCATACCAACGTCCAATGTTTGCTTGCATAAGTTCAGGGCCATCATCATGAGGCATTGTAGGGATAAAAGCATTCTATATAACCAACAAAGTGCATTTTATAGCGTTACAGAATGCACACAAGTTCAGTCCCAAACAACGTTTGGGTGAAGAATTAATATAATAAAGACCTTAATTTAACACTGTCATAAGAATGGTCATCTTTGTACCCGCCAGTTTGCTTCACACAAATTATATATCTGAATTTAATTCCATCAGCCTCATCAATGGAGACTTGGATCACAACAGCTACGATTACGTTACGAATGAACCGTTGAAAAATGGTGTTGTAGAAAAACATATTTTCTCCCTTTTTAGAAATAAACTTCTCTTGTCATAGTTGCCGTGTCATACTATGGAAAGCAATGGAAGCATAATAAAGCATAGCATGCAGGGTACGGTGTTAACAAAGCCCAGCAAAGTAGAATATATTAATTTCAAATGATAAATGTATGTAGCAAATTATCACAGTAAATGTGTTATGTGGTTGTAATATCTGATGCCGTGAACAAATATATGTCCGGCCCTTACCTCTTTGTCCCGACATTTAATTGTTTTTGTGATAAACCAAAACGTTCCCAAGCTCATATAAAGTTTAAGTATTAGTTAATCTGTTATATATAGCTAGTGCTTAATTACAATAGTAAATGTGATTGGCTGATTTGTGATCACGTAAGTTAATGCATTTCTCGCCGAGCAACCAAACAAGAATACACAAAATGGAGCCAAAAGTAAAAAAAATAACGTTTTCCCATTCTGTCTATCAAAAAAGAAGAACAACAAGCTATCGTTAAAATAATTTATATTAAGACATTTTCACTCAATATTGTTGCGAAAATTTGTTCATTCTTTCTTTGCCACTATACAACAAAATACACATTGTCTGTTCCCACGGGAAACAATTAATTTTGTTTGCTGAAAAGGTGCTTATTAAGTATTAACCAATCAAAATGGTAAAAGGCCAGGAAATATGCACAGTATTTCCTTTTTTCCTTCCACTGCATGTTCTCAGCCAATCAGAACTGAGAATCTTTTACGTATTCATCGTTATTATCATTACTCGCTGGGGGCACCTGTGCCCTGGCGAGTATAAGTTTCGGCTCGCATTTTTCTCCGATAGTGGATTGCGATCGATAGCCAGAAAATAGAATATTAATGAGCTGTCTAATAAAACCCAATTCATTCTTTTCAAAATGGCGGCCTTACGTGGAGTGGGCAAAATGTTTCAAACAATTTCGTTGAAATTTTCAGCGAATTGTACCTGTTTTCTATGGAGTTTGAATTGTATCTAACTCTAGACATTCTTGCTACTTTAGTTAATGCATTTTTCTTGGTGCACGACTCTTATAATCCGAAATTTGGATCGTTGAATTCCCGTGCACAATCATAATATACTCAAGTCTGAAATCTGAATCTGAATATAAACGAGCCAAAGACAATTTTAAAGTAAAAGGTTATAACCTAAACTACACAAAGTAGTTTTAATAGATAACTACTTTATGAAAAACGTATTGGTGTCATATTAATAAAATTTATGCAACAACAGTGCCAGCCCTAATACAGTAATAGTTAGCTGAGGAAACGTGAAAACTGTAGTGTGAAATATATTTTATTTGTAATGCCTACCACAGTTCGATTCAGCGTAAGAAATTGTACTTACGGATGTCAAATGTATTACTAAACAACAGTATTCTTGCGATTCATGGCCTTTGAAAATCAACCGAAATTCTATTGTGACAAATCGCTCGCAGTTCGTATTGTTCATTTGTTGACAAATCACTCGCAGTGCGTTTCTCCTTGTATTTGTAATGCCTAATGGCGCAATAACATAATACCAACAATGGTAACAATACCACCGTTCGATTCAGCGTAAGAAATTGTAATTACGGATGTCAAATGTATTACTAAACAACATTGCTCTAGTGATTTATGGCCTTTGTCTTTGAAAGCCAAACGAAACTGTTTTGTTAACAAATTGCTCAAAATTATTAACTAATTATAAAAAATGCAGCAGGCCTACGTTTCATCCTTGACAACTTTGGTATCTTCGGTTTTCTCTTTTCGGTTGTATACCTGTGGCCGATTCGTCTCGATCATTTCTCTCTTCATTTTAATAGTATTTTGAGCCCAAAAACTCCAAAAGATTTTATCGCCGTGGCGGCCGACAGAAGAATGTATAGCGTACGAAATATAACTTTAATTGTGGGCGGAAACGTCAGACGTTTTATTTGTAGAGCACCGCGGCATTTTACTAAATCTAACTGGTTCTACAAAATCCTGAACTGGGATCATTATACTAATAAAAACTTCAAAACTACATGCAATACAAACCAAGCGAATTTGAGAGCGGCAGCACTCTCCCCTTGACAAGCAAAATTGATTGGTATGAGACATTAAAATAATAAAGTAGGGTGCATTGCTATTAGGGCACAATGCAAATGTGATAAAATTTAGTGCGGCTTGGCCGCTCACAGCTCGCTATTCGAGATCGACTTGTGGGAAATCTAGTATAGCCCCAGCGAGTTAACGCTCCATAGAGCGTCTTGTTAATATTAAATTACACGTAAGAAAATTGTATTTCTCAGTGCAAATATGCAGATAATTAAATTTCTCCTTAATTATATGTGTCACACATATGAATAGTTCAAATTAAGATTAAGGAGATAAATTTGATGAAAATAATAATACTAACAATACTATACTTACCCTCATCAAAGCTGAATTAAAAGCAAGATTCATAAGAGGTTGCAGCAACCGATTCTGACGCAAACATTTCATGACGATAAGAAAATGAATCAAAAGTTCAATTAGACGCCTGTCATTGCCAGATTGTCGAGGACTTAGCTGTAGAAGTTGGCTGTTTGTGTTTTCAAAATTCGTCAAAAAATCCCCAGCTAGTCTCTTTAACTAAAAAAATAAATCCATCATTAAAAATCTCAAATTGTTCACATGTTTGCAACAAATTGCGTTTTCTTTTACCCTCCCAACGGCCACCAGCCTTGGCTTCTTTGTTGTTTCCAACGTAAGCTATAATAAAGCAATTATTGGATTTGGGCTACGCTTCGGTAGGTAACATTAATTAACCTTGGTCTGAACAATCGATCTTATTACACCAACCACGATTGATTTTATAATCTGTAATTTATTTGATTATAAGTGGAAACACTTCCAAAAACGCCTGATCATCTGTATTGGGTTACTGATCAGATAAAGTTTCGTTGCAAGTTACGAAACGTGGTCGAAATTTACCAAAAATTATACCCTATAGTATATGTTTCATGCTGTAGAAGCACAGGAATTTTCGACAAAAATCCGTATTTTAGTGCAAGGAACAGATTTGTTTATTTCTGGTTTAATTAAAGCCCGATTTTCACTTCTTTAGTGTACAGGGTGAATAAAAAGTAGTACGTTTTCAAATGGTTAAGGTTGTTCGTTCACGGCAACCAAGTACTGTATATCAATCACGTTTTCGCCTCTGGATTATATAAATGAATACAACGCTCAGTCAAATTGTAATCAAGAACCAACGTTTCGACACTCCAGTTTAGCGTTTTCTTCAGGGGCGATCTAAAGTTGTAATGTGGCTTCTTAACTACCTAGTAATCATGCTTTGAATAAGGATGACAGTGCCTATTTGCCAGAGAAACACTTGCATCTTATTGGCAGATGACGTCATCCCTAAGAAGCCAATTACAACTTTAAGCCGCCTTTCGCGCAAAGCGAACCTTTTCCTTCGTCGGCATCCATTTTGCAATAACTTGCTGCCGTAATAAGTGATACCGACAAACGAAAAAGGTCGCCTTGCGCGAAAAATGTCACTAGTGGAAAACTGGCTTTAGGTCGCCCCTGAAGAAAACACTAGACTAGAGTATCGAAACGTTGGGTCTTGATTACAATTCGAATGGGCTTTGTATTCATTTATATAAACAAGAATAGCGAGGGAAAACATGGCATATATTAAATTGAAAATTCCGCAACTTTTTTGTTCATGAAAATTTATATGACGAGTTAAGGAATATATAGCTATAAAGGGGCCGATTACATGCAGAACATTCAAGCGCCGGTTCTACTCAGCCCTGTTAACCAGATTGAATTTTTTTACGATTACACGAACGATTTCAACCACAGAGTTGAAACGCTATACTATACATTCTCGGCATTGATTTCCAGAAGCAAAAAAGCTTTCTTGTAATAAATAGCCACTACCACGCATGCTCGAATAATTCATGATAATTTCAGCCCTGGGTTGAAACGAATACATGACAAATTTTTAAACCCAGGGCTGAGTTCAACCCCGGGCTTGAAATTTCAATCCTGCTGAGGCAGGGTTGAAATTTCAACCCCGGGGTTAAACTCGGCCCTGGATTTAAAACATTTGTGATGTAATTGCGCGTTTAATTTTGATAGAGTTTTTTATTACAGACAGAGCTGAAATTTCAAGCCGGTAAACAGGGCTGAGTTTAACCCCCGGGTTGAGAATGCTCCATGTTTTTCTTGATAATTTTCTTCTTACCTAGAGCAAAAAAGTATTTCTGGTATCGAGGATGAAATTGGTTGCGTACACAAATGAAAGGTATAAAGGAATATGGCAATAAAAATTTAGTTTGTCTCATTTGATAGACCTTTCCTATAATCTTTAGTTCTTGAAATAATAAAACAAGAAACAATGACATGTCCCGCCTTCTTGGATTAGTTTTTGATTGTTGCTTTCAACGTGTGTCAAAAGCAGGGCTAGTAATACAAAACCACTTCATAACAATTAGTACAGTAGATGCCTAAAATGTTGTCATTCAATTTCTTATTCCAAATAATGACCGAAGTATAATGTCGACAACTGGCATCTATATAGGTCAGTTGGTTAGAGCACTGCACCGCAATCGCAAGACGCAGGTTCGATTCCTGCCAGGGACCACGTAGTTGCATTTTTTGCAGCTATATTCCTGGTTAGGTCTAACAAATAAATGTAAACAAATTTGCGCTCAATGATTTCCAGACCCTTCAATCACATCCACAAAAATCCAAGATAGCGCGCAACTCACTGATTTATGATAATTTCACTTAAAATATTTTGAAAACTAACCAACTTTCGCAGAAGTTATAAAATGTTTTCCCCATAATTTTAAAAGCTCTTTCAAATGAGACAAAGTATCCCATTAAAATTCGTTTCAAGTTTAAAATGTGCTTAATTAACTATCACATTAATACTAGAGCAAAACAATTTGACCTGCATTAACATTTCACGTATGATTGATTTCATACATTTCAACAATTAGCATTTCACGCTTGTTTAAAATTTATTTCAAGCTATTAATCAATCTAGTTCGCACTCTGAAAGTTATTTTAGGAAAAAGAGGTGTTCGGAAAAAATCAGGAGACCCTCATATTTACACATAAAGCATCACAAAGGTTTTGGGAAATTTAAATTTGGTAGCCATTTTAAAATTGCCTACTTTTTAATGCACCCTGGCGTGGAACTAATGACTTTGACACAAGCCGGAAAAAATCCAAGGCAGCAAGAGCAGAATCTTGAAAAAGGCCACTTTCAACAAGCCTAATAAGTCAATATGACATGAATATGATCTTTTTCTTGAATGAAAGAACACTTTAAGCTGTAGTGTAACATTGTTTAACAATTTGTTACAATTTGTATGACATGTAAATGAGTGTGAATATGTCCGCTAATTTATGACGTCATTTTGGTAGCAAGCTCTTCGAAATGGTTCAATATCACTGGTATTATCCAAGACGATAATTTCAAACTTCACTCACTGGTAAATGTCATGAAACACTGACTTCATTAATTGATTTATAGCTAGTGTAAGTCGAGCTTGCAACCAAAGTGACGTCATACGTACATTAGCGGACATATTCACACTTATTTACATGTCAAACAAAATTAAATATCTCGGCAACAAACCACAAAAACAGGAAACTGAAAAATAAGTTACTCTATAGCCCTAAAGAGTTCTTTCATTCGAGAAAATAATCATATTCATGTCATATGCACTTTAAATTAGTATAACAAGCCATCTTCATTAAATTGATATATATATGTTACCAAAAGATATGTACTGACAGCAAACGTTTGTTAAGCCAATAACATTTTCTAATAATAATAACAAATCGATAATGGCTTACTCGCGTACTCGATCTGTACCGTAATGTAACAACTGTTGATATATAGCTAGGGTGAACACCAGACATGATTGGCTGATTTGTGGTCACGTGACTTCAGATAAATGTAATGTATACCCCGGGAAACAAATAAAAAATTATTGCCCGCCCCGACCGGCCACGTACATAAATGAACGAAATGGCGGCACAACTGGCATAATATTTGAAACTATGATTTTCCAAGTTTGTCTTGAAATTTAGAATGTAAAAGTGAAGAAAAATAAACAACAGGCAACAGGATATGCTACTGAAACTGTTTAAGTTACTAGGTTCTTTTAATTTTAAACTTGTTTACACCATATACTTTTTGTCACGAAAACAATTGTTGTATGAATGTTGTTGAACGTTGATACTTGTTCGTCGCTAAATAAAACACTTAATGTATGTTCCCTCGGAGAATAGTTAGTTTTGTTTTCTCTCGAAACTCCATGTTTGAGACCCTCGGAAAAACAAAACATTTATTATATTAACTATTTCCCTCGGGAGCAGACATTCAGTGTATATTATTTATGCTGTACCATAATTTATTTAACTGTTTATTTATTTATTTTGTACGAACTTGTCGATTTATTGATATCTTTCGAAGTAACTGCGCCGTTGTCCCCAGTACAAACATTATCGATGCGCTCCTTCTCGATAGCGGCGAACATTTTACAGTTTAGCTTGTTCTCAACCATGGTAGACCTGAGCCATGTGGCTTGATATACAAGCTTACAGCTATTTCAATTAAGGTTGTCCCCAAGCAAAGCCGAAAAGTCGAATACGAGCGCGAAAGACTGTTGGGAATCGCTATAAAAATTCATTATTTTTTTGTATAATTCCCAGCAGCCTTTCGCGCTCGTATTTGACTTTTCCGCTTTGCTCGCAGACAACCTTAATTGAAATAGCTGTATGCTTCTCAATCGCAAAAATTTAAATGTATGTGTAATTTTAAATATTAGCTTTGTAAAGGCATCAGGTCTTTAAATAATTATATCTAGTGGACACGGCAGCTTCCCTCACTGCCCCCCCTGGTTCCAGCGCCATTGAGACAATACGCTAAAATACATTTGAAGTGCAAAATCACAGTATTTTATAGATTGTCAGGTCAGTACTGATTTAACTAATAACATACTCTTCATATAAAACTTTAGTTTAACTTACTTCGTTTGGTAGATACTGAATCCCAGCAATATATTGCTTTAACTTTTCCAAAACCTATAAATCAAATTTTTGTTCAAATTTATCAAATTTCTATATGTATATGGCTTTGTAAAATTTTGTTTGTAAAATTTTCAAGAAAGGGAAGAGATTACATATCACTTTAAGCAATATAGCAGATTTACTGACAACAATTAAGCTGAGTTTGAACTAGTCAAGTCATAAAGTCACTCGAGAATATTACTTCATACTAAGAAATCTGCCCTTCTTAGCGGTTCTTGTATTAATTATGACTGTTATTCAACACATTTTTTGGTTGCCTTCGCACCTCCCCACCCTCCCCTATAAGTCATAGGTCTAGGGTTGAAGGTCGAGGGTCAAACATCTAGGACGAGGGGTGGAATTCCAAAGTCGTGCTTCTTATGCCGAAAATACTAAATTTTTTATCAATACATTTCTACAAAACTACACTAATCCTTCGTAATTGTTTGAATGTTTTCCTAATAATAACGTATTTTTGATTGCTTGTGAAATCGAAAATATACAAATTTCACCCTCAACGCCTCATCCTTTTGCTGGTTAAGTATTTGCACCGATTTCTTGAAAAGAAAAAAAAAGATCTTTTTCTCTTTTGTGTATTTATAATTTGGAGATCATCATCGGATAATATTAAACTAAAATCATCCACATGCATATTTTAAACTTCCCGGCATCATGCATGTCATAAAATTATTTCCTACGGTATGCATATACGAAGGCTGTTATATCCTTAAATTGAAGCTCTGGGAAATTCCTGAAAAAATTACCGTTGACTACTTATAATCAAATTTCTCATATACCTTTTTTGTATAACTGAAAAATTAATCTCACTAACTGTTTATATAACTGAACGTTTTGAAAACTGTATCGAGTCAACCTAATTAGTGTCGGTCGAGCTCGAGTATCTTAACTATAGTATCGTCACAACATATAATGTGACGTTCAGCATATATTCAGTTTTATTTCGGAAAATATGCGTTAATTGAGATAGATATAAATACTGGAACCAATACAAATTTTAAAAAAATACCTTAAGGTACAGTTTTAAAATAATGTAAAATGCACGATTTAGACCCGCAATTTTAGACAATTATTACTTGTTGAAAAACAAAAATCTTACTGAAGTGAAACAAAATCTAACGCGTTTGAATTTTTCACAAAAATTACAGAACTATCGTTGCTACGGCAACAATGACGTATCAAAATGGCGGATATTTTGACTTTGAAGTAATTCAACTCAAAAACGACATCGATGACCCCCAAATTCTATTTCACAAATAATGATTTCTCTTTGTATACTCAATTATTCTGACAATGTTGAGAAGAAAAAAAATATTATGAATAATCACATTGACATAATTTGAATCTTTTTTTTGGCTAAACAGAAGTTTAAAGTTTTCAGAATAATTGAATATACGAAGAGAAATCATTTTATGAAATAAAATTTGGGGGTCAGCGCGATGTCGTTTACGAGCCAAAATATCCGCCATTTTGAAACATCATTGCTGCCATAGCAACGGTGGTTGCGTAACTTTTGTGAAAAATCTCAAACTCCTTTGATGTTGCTTTACATAAGATGCTCTTTGTTGTTCAGCAAGTAAAACCTCTCGAAAAATTAATCGCAAATTTTCCATTTTTAAAAACTGCATTGAGCCACCTTAAACACTAGTTTACATGATTTCTAGACTCATTACGGTAATATTTTTTATAAATGAAATTGTCATGGGCATAATGTTTTTGGCATGTACAATTTGTTGCTGCGTATTGAAAGAACATTTTTGAAGCATGTTAGAATGCTGAAATGAGACCTCAGAAATCTTTTTCAGCACGGACCTCCCGAGCTTTCGCGCGTTTTGATTGGCGAGTTGACAAGTAAATCTGACGCATTATTTACCAGCAGACTAGTAAATAATGCGTTTCAAAAAGAATGATTCGGAAAATTTGGCTTCAAAATCGACAAATTATTGAAAAATCGTCCCCAGAAAACGAAAGAAGACAAAATGTTGTATTTAATTTGAAAGGTAGGATTCCTTTATTATTTTAGTGTGTCAAACATATTCATACCCTGGATTCCAGAGCCTTCGACAGTAAATAATAAATTGAAACGTCGCGAAGGCTCTGGTTCAACGGGAAGATTCTTTGATTAAACCGCGCCAATCACAAAACAAATCAAATAATCCTCCCGTTGAACCTGAGCCTTCGCGACGTTTCAATTTATTATTTACTGTCGAAGGCTCTTGGATCCAGGGTAACATATTCACGGACAATTTAAAAATTATTTAAAACTCCGAAACATTCACTACAAACAAATAACAAGGATAGTGCAAAGTTGATATGACAAATGATAATTAAGATTTGTTGATTCGCATAACGATTAATATATGAAATAGGATTGATGCATCTATAAAGAAGTTGTATGGCGTTTGTTTTTATATATTACAAGCCACTACAGTAAATTTAGTTGTTTTCGCATGGATAATTTTCCATGGCTTTTATTCCTTGAATGGTGGCGGCTTTAGTCCAGATCTTTTTTCTTTGCTTTTAATAATTCAATTTTCTACCCATTTTCCCTTGTATATTTAATACAAAACAAAATAAGCCGCCTTCGAAAATGGAAAAGAAACAAAAATGAACAGCCTGCAAGAAATTGTTGTCACCTGACATTCAAGATCATTTCCAAATTTAGAAAGCCAATGAAAAAACAGGACGGGTTCAAGTCGACTGCGTGCTGGCCACGTGCTCCAGAAGTTGCTGTCTAATGACTTTACAGTAATAATATGCAAACAGAACTATGGCCGACATCTAAATATTTCTCACTATTAAATATAATATTTTACAGTTTATCAATGAAATGCCATAACTGCATAAGTGAGAAATACCAATAGTTTGACAAAAGCTTGGAATGACTAATTATATAAAACGTCTCGGAAACAATACGAACTGACATTACTGACTACAGATTACACCGAGTACAGAAATTTCTGCTATTAAAAATAATATACTTCACTACAAACACTAGATCATTAATGCATCAGTCAATTCTAGCATTGCCCATCCCCCCCGGGCAACCCCTGGGCATTTGCACTTTTTTTTACTTTAAGTTGACAATTCCCGGGGGCCGGGTAGGAAAAGCGTGGCAATGCTCTGCCCTCGGGCAAAAAAAACATGACAAATGCCCGGCCCCAGGGCACGCTGACTCATTTATTGAATGTATTTTAGACCTCAAAACTTCCATAACAGTGTTAGATCCTTGTATAACAGCTACAGCAGTCATCCCAACTTTTGAACATGAAAAACGTGCTTGTCGGTTCAGTGGTTAATATACAATAACGTAGCAAAATAAACAAGGATTGTAGTATGAATTCTAGTGTTTTTTTTGCTGGATAGTTAAACACAACTTTAATTAGTTTTTCATGTGCGATTGGTGTGACGTTTTGTGAATGAAAGTACCGACAAAATCCTCGTTTTTACCCTCGAAATTTTCGACGCCATTTTAATACAATAGCACGTGTTCGTCGCAGAAACATCCGGTCAAGTCAAATGCCTGGCCGGTAAACAATTCCCCGCCCCCAGGACAACTTTGCAAGTACCAATGCCCAGCCCCCGGGCAAAGAAAAAGTGCAAATGCCCGGGGGTTGCCCGGGAGGGATGGGCTATGCTAGAATTGACTGATGCATAATGCAGACATTTATAGTTCACTGGGACACTGGCTCTCGCTGGCGTCGCTGCTACAATATAAATACGCTCGACCTTAGCATGTTGCCTCTGGAGCAAATTTATTATTTACTATTTATTGGGCCATGTAAACCTAGTTCTAGATTGCGATATAATAATACAAGAATAAGCTAGCTGATATAGACTGCGAGCGGTCCTTCCTTTCCGCGGGTTATATCGTGATATAATAATACAAAAATAAGCTAGCTGATATAAATGAGCTGCTGACTTATAATTTTAAATCAAAACTATCCACTGGCACTTATTCATGTATACATTGCTCCGTATCTTTCATGGATAAACCACTGTGCTATAATACTATCAACCTCAGACGTAATACCCTCTATAGTCTACACGATTTCAGCATTTCACACCGCCGCTCAATAGTCACCGCTCGTCCATGTCCGCCATTGTAAAATAATAACATATGAGAGCACGTGTATTTATGTTGCAGGGGGCATATCATATAATAACAAGTACTTGAAATCCAACAGTAATTTGGTTATAATTTCTCTAAATGTCGGATAAATTAATAAGTAAAACATGTACCATCATGAATATAAATATAGATTGTTATAATCTACAAACAGCTATGAACGATTAGTTGGCCGAACATCGCGAAGCTCTAGAAAACGTAATAAAAATAATTTGCAAGCTCCCCCGAATTGTTAACTCTATAGATCGATCCATCGATCGGTCACTGAATTGAATTTAACCTCATAACAATAGTGCAAAGCAACTTTGCACTAAAAACTATCCCGACTGTTGGGGAAAACCTTGCAGTGATATTCTTTTCATCAAAACCATTTTGTTTTATATCCTACAGATATCTCAATTTGTACGATACTATTTCTTTTGATATGTCATGTTTTCATTGTGCTGTATGGTGTTCTGAGTCTGACGCTGTGTTGTGTTTTCGAAACTTGTAATTAAGCGAAAAGTGCACTAAAACTTTATTTCGAACGATATAGTTTTACATTTCATTTTATCAAATTTCTCAGCCATTTTTTGAACAAATGCTCAACAGAAACTATTTTCTAATTCTGATTTCTGGTGAAAAAGTCATTCCATCATTGTGTATAATTCTAAGCAGAAATCGAGAAAAACAACTTTGTAATAAAGCAATAAAGTCACACAAGAAGCCATTTTGAATGCGTGTGCGTACAATAAACACTGCAACACAGAAACAGTAACCGTGAAACGACCGAAAACAATTTTATTTCTGAGTTTTAATTTAACTGATGTTTGGATATTTTGTTAGTTATTCATTAAAAATTTATACTAAAACAATGATTCGCCCCAGGCTCAGTGATTACGGTGAATATTCACCTCGACTTCGTCTCGGTTCAATAGCTCGACAGAAACACGGGGAATTTTCACGCGGGTTGCGTGGATTACGCGGGAGTTTAAAAGACAAAATACAGTATAAATAATATTTAAGGTGGCTCGATATAATTATCACAAAAATCCTGCTCAAGAATCGCGAACTCAAAACCGGGTGACCATTTTTACGTGCAGGTCGCGGAAACTGATTAACAAATGAACGAACTTCCAAAATGAGCTGACGTGAGCAGTTGCTCGCGCCATCTCACGTCATTGCGCATGTTCTATAGCGTTTTATTTCAATTGCTGATGTCATTAGAATTTTCCATTTTAGAAAAACAGTGCGCTATGTCTCTTTATTTTGTCTGGTGACCTACGTTCAAATTTTGCATGCTGTATTACACCATTAAAAACTTTCATTAAACAAAAAATAAAAAAATTCTGTAATGCCAAAAAAATTTTACCGAAGAATATGACATTTTCGCATTTTCAAAAAAATGGCATTACAGAATTTTTTATATTTTGCTAATTGTTAGCTTTTCGTCCAAGTACAATAATGCAAGAAAAAAATTGGGTGTCACCTTGCTTCTTTTCGAACAAAACGAGACGATAGGCCATTTTGGAGTGAATTTCGTACACGTATGTCGTCATAGCAACGAACTAATTGTTACTAAAACTAATATAATTTGAAAGTAGAGTTATCAAAATATATATATAAAAATAGGTACGCGACCGCGTACATGTATCTGCGCATTAAAGGTCCAGACACGCCGGACGCGATTCGACAACGCGACGCGATTTTTCGATTTTCACTGACCGTTAAATTTAATCCAAGTTTAAATACTCCAAATATTTAGAAGCGCTATAACATTCTAAGTTACTTGGTCTACATATGTTTCTAACTGATTTGCTCTCATTGGCTGTTTTTCAAACTAACTGAAAAATCGCGTCGCGTTCTCGAAGCCCGTCCGGTGTGTCTGAATCTTAAGGTCTGATTCCACGACGGCGAAATTCGTCGCGAGAACTTGTGTCTGCGAAATACGGTGGTTGCACATGAGCGATTGTATTGAATTGTCCCACTTTGTCCGCTTTCGCAGTAAGTAGAAATGTTTCGCATTTCGCCGAGAAAAAAAAGCTCGTGGAATCAGGCCTTTACTGCATTGATGGTGCATTCTCGAAATTACATTTTTACAGCAATTGTGCGAAATTGTGCTAGTTGAAATTATATGCCTGCTTCAGATATAATATTTACATTTAACTAGTGACTTCTAAATTAAGAGGACGAGAACCATTTATATCCCGAATCACGGCAACTGATAACAATCATACAAAAATGTTTCTTTTCATCTGGAGCTAAATATCTGCTATTCATACAGTTCATTACTTTTAAGAACAATTTAAAGAAAATAATTAATTAAGGCTGTAAAATGTGTGGATTTAAAGACGTGGGATTAGACGTCTGTACATGGAGTCATGAGCTAATAATAGTTTCTGACATTTAAAACAACAGGGCTACGTTTATCCTATACTTTGTTTTCATAGTTTAGCCTAGTTTCAGAGGCTTCCATTAAATAACAGTCAAGATATATACGCAAATATAATTTACGTGTCTATCTAAAATTTGTAATTGTTTCGTGAAGATTCAACCATAAAACAATTGCCGGAAATGGAAGCCCCGATTATAAAAACTCAGGGAAAACCCGTGCGGTATGAAATGCGTGGCGTAAACATGTCAATCAAATATCTATAAATATGACGTTTTATATTTGCACAGTACATTGTGTACGTTCTTGTTGTAGAACTTGTGTTGCTCCAAATCGAGTATGAAGTAAAATCAGGAGCATACTGTCACAGGCTAATTTTGTATTTTAATACCTCTGGAAATATCAAGGCTTTGGTACCCCTATCTATCACAAAAAGTAACAAATCCAAAACGAAGTATGAGGACTAATATTTTTATATATATCATTTCACAGATTAAAAGTATTATTCAAGAAATATGTCCATTTTGATCTTAACGTGATACAAAAATACTAAATAACATGCAAAATTCAGTGCCAAAGAGGGATTTATTTTGTGGTAGTTAAATATGTAAACATATGTTCTCAAACTGGCAGAGTTTAATACCAATTAAAGCTCGCAATGCTATATATTTGGTTTGATACGAAGATAAAATAGTAAATACTCATAATAATTTAATTACAATATGTCCATGACCTTACTCAAAAATTTAGATTATTAAATCACATAATGGAACAACTTGCAATTTGCTACGCTCACTCGTTAGCAATAGTTCTCTTCAACACTCGAAATAAAGAACATATTTCCGCACAACCATGTATAAATATCCTCTATACATTCCAGTTTACCTTTAATTTGTCAAGTGGTAGGCACAATATTAGTCCTTTTAATTTGTTATTCCCTTTCCCCAACACGGGAGTGATAGGAGCTTGAAAAAATGACAGTTGCATACTTGCGTGTAATTTGCTCGGAGCAATTTGCAACAACATTGCAAGATTGATTGCAATGTTGCAATACTCATGGGAACAGAACATCCGGTTTGACTGTAAGAGTTATATCAGTCCAAGACTGCTATAGAAGAAGATTTTATCAAAATAAAGTCAGGATAAAGTCTATTAACAGTTTAATACCACGATTACTAATGATTACTACTCTTGAAAGCTTTTCGAAAGACGCCATCTTGTTTTAAAGCTGTTCTAGCCTGCGAACAGGTCTTCAAAACAAGGTTGACGGACTTAACGAGTTAACAACTTAACTTAACTTACTTAACTTTACTTTACTTTACTTTACTTTACTGACTGACGCGATAGCAATATATCTGCGCTACGCGCAGATACAAAAACCTCAATATCTGATGAATAAATCCCAAAAATGCGTACTTTGAACATGTCAAAGTGTTGAGCACCTGAATTTCTGAAAACTGTATCAAGCCACCTTAATATCGAAAAAAAAGTTGGAAAACGTCCGAAAACGCCGAAGAACCCTCACAAAAAAAGGCAACGCTTTGCTAATTTAGGAAGCGAAGACCTAAAGTACAAAGCACAAAGTACAATACAGCACATGTCATATTTGAGTGCACATTGCTTGAATGCAGTCTTTATATCTTTATACATGCAGTCCACACAACATTTAGAAAGATGTGTGCAAGATCATGATTACCTTCATAAAAACTTGGCCAAAACCTACCCTAGCAGGAATTTCATCTTCTTTGTTCACATGTGAGAAGCTTGTCGTTATTTCACGAAACAGAGCCAGTAAAACATAACAAGAACGTGCGGATGGTTGAACCTGTATTTCCTGTAAAATACATGATTGATCGTAATTAAGAACTGCAAGAAAATAACCACTTTCCTAACTCAACAAAAGGATACAGTGCAGTTAATATTCCTAATGAAATTAAAGTCAGATGAATGCCAAAAGTTGAGGCGATTGATTGATTTGTTTGAAATATATAGAGGATATTACACGGCGGCGCAATGATATGACTTTTACCTTCGAATGCTAAAAGTCATATCTTCAAGCCATCGTGCAATGTTCTGTTTATTATATAATCCCAAGCAAAAAATTGTATAAATATTAAAAGTGGCGTAATCGATATCTTCACTAGTGAAAATATGGAAAATATCTCACTGTGTATTTTTCAGTATCTCACGCTGTACTCCATAATAAGGTGTTATACTGTATAACCAGTTCTATAGTTTTGACAACAAAAACGTAAAATGCGTGATGCACGAAAAACTAGAAGCAATAGGCCAGTTTAGAATGAATTTCCTACGCGTGTTTTGCAATATAACATAAGTGTTACCAAAATTAGCATAACTTGAAAGAAGAAACATTAAAATATTTGAACGTCCTAGCTGATATCCGCTGCATAAAACCCAAAAATGCGAAGTTTAAATATGTGCAACTGTTGTACACCTAAATTATTTGAAAACTGTTATGATTTGAAGACATTTTAATAAATAAGATGCTAAATGGCAAGGTGCACTTCTCATGGTCAGGTCATAAAAAGGAATCCAGTATAATTTGTTGAATAAACAAACGGTGCATGGATGCATGATCGTGGTCAGTTTCAAGAATGACCTTACCGTTGGAAAAGGAGGAAGGTGAAGTATTTTATTGAAGTATTTTAATGCAAAAACAGGCCGGTTTGGTTTCTGATAACTAAGATCAACACCAACATCTATCAAACATCGCTAGAAATCGCGGACATTTGGAATGCAGCGTCGCCTTAGTCCGCATGTTCATTTTGATATTCAATTTTTATCAGGAATGCAGATGGTTATCCAATTTTTACATAAAATATCTATGAAGAATCATACCAAATTAAAATTGTATAGTGTGGAAACAAAATTCCGTGAACTAATCAAGGAAATAAGAAAGGAAACTAAAAGCAATAATAAAATATAATGAGTATTTACGATACTTAAAACTACGAGCAAGATTTGTAACTAATTTACCGAAACGACAATAATCCACCTTTCGCAAAGTCATACTACGGCTTAATGATCGATGAACTTAAGAATGTATGGTAAAATTTAAATAATATGCAGATATTAATTAGTAACCGAAATAATTGTTCGCATACCTTAATCTGTGGTGTCAATGATTATTTGTTTCATTCCAAGTTTGCATAAAATCGAAGGTTCGTTTATTAGACACAATCATCAGGTTCTAATATTTCTCAATTTGGCGATGATTTTTTAAGAAAAAATGGCCAAAATATATCATTCGAAAGCTCTTTCTATTTTTTATTTGTTTACATTTTGTTATCCTTTTAGTTTGTTTACAATTGTTTTGTAATCTTTATAGTTATATTTAGAATAAGAAATTCCGGAGATCGAAAGGGGTAATGAGGGGCATAGACGTAAGGGATGTTTCGGGATTCAAATGTCTGCGATTTGTAGCGATGTAACTCAATCTATAAAAAAAATAACTCACTTGAATGACTAGATTTAGGTCATCGATGTTAGATGTAAGTATTGCTTTGCCAACAGCCTCTCGCACAGTGTGATAATTCTCATGATGAACTATGAAATTGTCCGGAGTTTTATCTTGCTCCTAAAAAACAATAGTATAACAGAAGCTCGATAAAGTTTGGTTGGAGGAACAGTAAATCATTTCTGAACATTAAAGAACGTGCAAGCGACATTCAATGTTAATTTATACGTCTGATAAAACGTTTTCCGATGGGATAATTGGACATTTATGCACCTGTACAGTACTGAATTCTATAGCCTATACGATAAATACATTCTAATCTGAACTAGGGATCCAAGGATAGTGTGAAGTTTCGAATTGAAACAGACACTGCAACAACTATATAGGCTTGCCGACAACCTAGAAAGGCTGATGGCTTACACTACGAAATAAACAGTTACCAAAGGCATTTCATCTCATTATCTACTTTATAATGCGTTCGGCACACGAGTAGCGCCACGTTTGAAACAAGCCTAACAGATCAGAAACGTGCCTCGTGGAACTGATACAATTTATTTATTTATTGTGATGCTACACGCGACAACTCGAAATTTAAGTTGTTTCACCAACACCCAAATTTTGCATAATATTCTAAAACTTCATTTGCATTTGCAGCTGTCGCTAAAAGCATCCTAACTAGGCTACTGATACGCTGAACTTATTTAATATGATTATTCCCATCACCCAAATAGCTGTATAAGATATGTTATGAATAATAAGCACTACGACGTTGTATCATTAAAAGAACGCATTTTATCCCCATCCGTTCTATATTTTATCCCCATATCCGTTCCGTGGATCCGCTCCATCCGCTTCCGCATTCTAACCTAATTGTGACATGTTTCACAATAACAAGTCTGATTGACCTTTGACTTTATATTCCCAATGCAATGTCACATTGCCGGTTTCAAGAGTCATTTTCAGCTTTTCGCATGTATTGAATAATGTCACTTTAGATTTCAATAGTTTCACAGTTATAGCAGTGTTTATAGCAGTTTTAACAAGCTTTGATACGGCTCTGTGTACAGATTGATTCTCGTAAGATCTGGTAGAGTTATCGTTGCACTGAACACGAGTTCGCACTGTTGACCTTGTGCTATACAGTAAACAAAGTAAGTCCGTGACGGTAGACGTTGGCTACCTCCTTGCTTTTTTCTTCTATTGCTTAAAGCTTGTTGGCAAGCCAAGCGATTGGCGATAACACGTTGGCTATAACTCCTCGTCTTTCTTGTTTAAATAAAGAGCTCTGCAGACTCAACTGATTTTTTTTGTCTCGATCACAACTCACAAGTTATTTTCTTCGTGAACGACATACAAACACCCGCTTCTGTTTAATAGTTGTTTACGCTTTGTCTGATGCAATTTTTCGCTCTTTGTACTGAGTGTAGCCATCTATGCTGTGGTGTAGCACCTTATATAGCCAATGTGGCCAATGTATAATGAATACACGGCCTAAACAATATATCTTCTGGCACTTAATTGGGCGCCGGTAATGCATAACGTCATCAACATATATATTGCGTAGAATCTTCTTCAAATATATAAACATTTCATGTCTGAAATGTTTATATATTTGAAAACAACACTCTCTCGTTCTTTCCTACCTCTGTATAATGGGTATACCGTGAAAATAATATCGGCACTCAATTGAATGCCTAGAATCTCAAAGATTTTCGACTCAATATTTACGTCTGAAATGTTTAATATATACTCTTGAAAAAAGCACTGTTCTAGCTCCTTGCTAGCTCTGTAAAATGAATATAACGTCTAAATAATATCGGCACTTAATTGAATGCATAACATCAATTTATATATTGCGTAGATTCTCGAAGATTTTCTTCAATATTCACGTCTGAAATGTTTATACATTTCAAAACAACACTGTCTCGCTCCTTCCTAGCATCGTCACGCCATCATGATCTACGGCTTGATAGCGCATGCGCATTTGCGCTGCTAAAGAAAAAATCGGGTGTTCCGGGGTAAAGATCCTTTACACAACATGAGAAGCGCATGTTATAAAATTTACAATAACGACAACAATTCCTCGAATTTTTTGTAAACTTGGCAAAACTTGGCAAAAGGCCTAAAGAATATTTAAATAAGACAACTGAAATTGCCTAAATAACCTTCAAAGCACAGACTAAGTACGATAAATCACTACGAACATATATCGTATACACCCCCCGGAAAGTTTACTGTATGACTGAATGAATGAATGAATGAATGAATGAATGACTGACTGATTCGTGTGAATTTCCCCCCAGTCATCACAATACTGTGAAGTTTCGAAGAAACTTCACACTAAAAATGTCATATTCGGGCTTATCAATGTAAATTAATATTTGAGCATTAACTTGATTTTTTTGGCTTATGCCCAAGCTATTGAAAAGTAGGAAAATTTTAACAACAGTGTTGTACAACCAATTTAAGAAAACGCTTAAGAAAAATGACATTTCAATTAATTGAAATACAATTGTTTGATGTCATACAGACTTTCATAAACATATCGGTATAATCACAGTTGTGGCAGGCGTATTTTCCCACTGTGACTACATGACATCACATGCATAGCACTGCCTGAACAGAGTAGGCTACTCAGAGATAAATGCTATAGATTAATGTTAAAAAAAAATAAATCGTTTACCAACTTTCACGACTGATCGTTTTAGAAATTTACATGCACTGCACTAAAATAAACAGATTATGCAGCTGCTTATGTCTCATATTGTATGTATTAAACGAGAACACTTGACAGGTGCTCAGAACCATTAGAAACCGTTAGAAAAATTGTATTACCTCAGACTGTGGCGGCATAATCCATTTAAGTTCCTTTCTTTTACATCTTTCCTTAACAGCATCAATCCCATTGGGGTCATGGCGAACTAACTGTTTTAATAAAAATAACTGCAAAACAGATCGACTTGAATTACTACACAGGTGTTTTGCTGCTTCAAGGCACTTTGGAAGGGCTTCAAAACGCTTAACATTTTCAGCAAAATCATCGCCTAAATACGTAGAAAGAACATCCAATGCTGCCCTTATTCCAGCGATATCTCTGAGACAATTGATAGTCAACGAGTTTTGGTGAATATGAATCGTGCGTAACGTTCTTTCCAGTTCTCTGCTTGCCAGTAAGATTTGTACATTTTCGCCACCTTCCTTCGCTTTTAATAATTTCACTGTTTGTACATCCTAGAAAAAGAAATCAATATTAAAGAAAAACGTTTCAATGAAGTTTGATAAATCTAAATTTCATAAATCCAAGCCAGCAAAAGTTAAATTTGCCGTTATCCCCGCTTGCTAATGTTAAGTTGTACAAATGCAATGTAGAGAAAAAGAGGTGCGTTATCTCGCTGCAGAATTAATCATCTGGTCACTGTTATTTTTATTATCTGTTATGTTCAGTCTTATTTCAAAACAAACCCTGTAGTATATACATGTACATATACTAACTGAAAGGATGAAGTGTACTTTAATTCGTATTTTTGATAACACAACCTACTTTATTTGGCTTTAATCCTTTAGAAAGCCAAACATTAAATATTCAACATAGAAATAGATCTAATATCCTTTCAATTTAATTAAACAGGTTCTTTCAAAACAACTAAAAACATTAATGCGTTTATTATATACATGACAAAATTACTGCAATCTGATTGGTTAAGAGGAGTGCAATTATTTCATTAATTGCACTCTCCAGGAGTGCAATTAATGATTTTCGTGATGGCTGCATGGGAGCAGCGGGAAATCAAAACAACAAAAATCCAAAATGGCGGCGAAATTTATCTTGTATAAATAACAAACTTGGACAAATATAACTAAATTTTGGCACAATAATGAGTTTAAAAAGCATAGTATACGGAAGAGGGGGCCTGTGGAAAATACCTGGAAAGTGGAAAAAGTTGTAAGAAATAATATCGTCTGGATGCAGCCATAGGCGTACAGGTACTTTTTTTCGGGGGGGGGGGGCTGGGCTGAATTTGCCCGAATGACATGACGTCATAGATTTCGTGACGTCATCATAAAATTATATAATCTAAGAAGACTACAAATGAAAGGCTTTCATTTGAAGATTGACGAACGTGATATAAAAAGAAATATGTCGTCCCCAGCCATTTCATTTATAAGCTAAGGTTATCATCGTTCTTGGTTGTCATGTTACTTTTTACAAAGAAAGTACTGATTTTCGACTGGGATGAATCCGATGATTCCATCCCAGGATGACATTTTACTTTTTTACCATTGTAAACCAATCGAGAATGCACCTCTTTATAATCACTGTCGATTTCCTTATTGCATTCATCGCACCGAACGCGATGTCGGTACTGTCTTTTACGAGATGCCATACGTAATGATTGTAAAAAAAATCGCGCACTTTTATGTCTATCTAAAAGTCTAAAATTAGTCACATTATGTCATTGTACAGTATTTGTACGGTTACATCAATGTCAATTATAATGTTGTATCTATTTTCAGTGACTGCTGTGTCATAGCCGCGGTGCGGTCCAAGACCAGAGACTGTATTTACGCAACCAATGCTATCAAAGGAGATAAACATTACTGATCCGACTGTTACTACGCACACTTACGATACCACACCTTCGCAAAAATGTGTAGTTATATACTATATAGTTTAATAGTTGTATAGCCTATACATTATGCCAGGTAAACTGATGAATATAGGCATGAATACAGTAGTGACATTTTAATAGTAGCCATACCAATTGTTCCTTCGTTGTTGGGGTCTTGGGATTTACGTCTGTGGTGTGTGCGTAACGTAAAAATCAAAACCAAATCCGGTTAAGTTAGAGCACTTGACCTTTAAGTTAATAAAGGTTAACCTGATGCATGCGATCTACGGTATTAATAAATATGCACACACGTAGTGAAACGTTGCCATTACAGATTTCCATTGCATGATTGAACCTGTAAAAGTTGATCTTGTTGAAATAATACTTCTGTTCCGCTTTAGGGTTAGGGAAAGGTTTGGGGTGGAATCGGTTTATTTTACAAAAATTGAAATTGGCTGGCTGCTATCTATCTAGTCACAAATTAAACCATTTACTATAAGATAATGAGCAACTGATTTAATCGGATTAGAATGCCTTCTTCTATTAATGCTCGTAAATATTTTTCTACACAAAATGGCTATGATTATGACTGCGATTTAGAGTTGCATGCAGGCATGCATAAAATTTGTGCATCAATTCTTGGTGACCATGCAAGTGTACTGTATTAAACAATTGTACCATGTTTAAATATGTTTGATGTGAAACCATGCAGGATTATTCATATTGAGTATTTTGACCTTACTATTAAATAGATACCCCCAGAAATTCTTACAAGTCGAAAAAAAAGAGTTATGATGCAGGAAAAATTACGTCCACCTGAGGAACTAGTTAAGGAATTTTTCAACCTCGTAGAGCCACGGACCAGCTACCGTTATGCCGTACTTCCCTATATTAAAGGCCTGACAGAACCATT